GGGTAGGGGGCACTAACAGCGAACTCAATGAACCCCCTGGGGTTTTTGGCCATGTTCACCACCCTCCCACCGCTTCCCACTAGCGTCCTTTTTCCATCTTCCTCGTCTGTTCTCCTTTCGGTCCCTCCACTCACCCTCTCTCTCTCTTTGGTCCTGTCGCTTACAAAGCTGGACCTGAGGCCAACTGGGCCTGATCCCAGAACTGGCCTGGTCACAGCAGGCCTATCAAGGACTGCCAAAGAGGTCACCTGACACAGGGATTGAGAGTGAACAGAGAAAACAAGTGAAAAACAGCCCTTAAAAGATGGAGCTGTACCCTTTTCACGAGGGCTTTTTCCTTTCTATGAGGACACATGTGTGTTTGTACAGTATGTGTCAATAAGATACACAGTTAGTTCTTTCCCATGAAATAGCATACATGCATTTCAATAAAAAAGATAAGATAGATGATACCCAGTGGAAATTTCTCCAAGCATTTAGGAACATTTCATGTGTCAGTTGTCATGGAGAGGGATTAGCTGACGTCAGCATTACATTTCAGTAATTTGATACCAGAGGTCATCCTCGCCCGCAGAATGATTTGACCAATCTAACATCATGTTATAAGCGTTTATGATGTATTTTAATCTCTATTATAAAACCATTTTCAAACATTCCTGTTTTCACTGTTCCCAACAGACGATCACACATCCACCAACACTGGTCTGTTCTTCTTCATCTCTAACGAGGGCAACCAGAACCTGTACGTGTCCCAGGCCAACCTGTGGCTCTACTTCCGCGTGCTGCCGGCCGGCGCTGAGAAAGGCCTTCGGAGAAAGGTGACAGTCAAGATCCATTACCAAGAGCCCGGGGCAGCTGGCGGAGCGGAGGCAGGTCCAGGAGGTGGTGGTGGTGGAGGAGGGGGAACAGGCCGCTGGGCTGTGGTGGAAAAGCGAGTGGATCTGAAACGTAGCGGCTGGCATACTTTCCCCCTGTCTGAGGCTGTGCGTGCTGTGTTTGGGAAGGGCAACCGGCGCCAGGACCTGGAGGTCCACTGCGAGGGCTGCGAGACAGCCGGTGTGTCTCCGATAATGGTGGACCCCAGCGACCCGTCCCACCGGCCCTTCCTGGTGGTGCGCGTGCGACAGGTGGACGGAAAGCACCGCATTCGCAAGCGGGGTCTCGAATGCGACGGCACCAGCGGGGGCCTTTGCTGCCGGCAGCAGTTTTACATTGACTTCCGCCTCATTGGCTGGAACGACTGGATCATTGCGCCAGCTGGTTACTATGGCAACTACTGCGAGGGTAGCTGCCCGGCCTACATGGCGGGTGTTCCAGGCTCGGCTTCATCCTTCCACACTGCAGTGGTGAACCAGTATCGCATGAGAGGGATGAGCCCCGGCTCGGTCAACTCCTGCTGCATCCCCACAAAGCTCAGTACTATGTCCATGCTCTACTTTGACGATGAATACAACATCGTAAAGAGGGATGTGCCCAACATGATTGTGGAGGAGTGCGGCTGTGCTTGAGTCAGCCGTCGCCCTTCGTTATCTCTGAACTTGGAACAGTTGGAAAGGCCTTTTGTACCAACAGGACGTTGTTGTACGGTACACATATATAATATATCTATACCTACCGTAAATGCAAGCAGCACGCACACTGATGCATCTGGTACCCCTTGCAAATGCAAGTACCTGTGCTGTGTCCCCGTGTGTGTGTTTGCCCGGTGATTGTGCGAGTGTGTGTATTTATAAGTGAGGTGCTCGCTGTCCGGCTGAGTTAAGTCCGTCGAGTGACAACCGGTCAGTGACGGGACGAGAAGGGAACGATTATCACCAAATTATACTTTGCTCTAGTTTGCCATTTCTAGACAAAAATAATGGCAAATCATCTCTTGTATGAAGATAACAAGCGCTTAAGTAAAGTGACAGGATTGGCCAATTGCATTATTTGCTTCACCCCAACACTCCCGATCCCGCTCCTCCAACCCTCTAGAGTACTTACAGACTTTTATTTCTTTTTAGAAAGCACTGACAATTCATCAGCTTATACAACTTAGAACAGCAGCACTTCCCTCATATGCCAGCAGACACAGTCCTCCATATCTGGTGGAATTAGACTGGCAGCGCTTAATGCCCCGCAGGATTATACCCTCCGCAGAGAGGCGAAAGAAAGTCCTCCACAGGTCTGCTGTCCTGCCTCCTTGCTGTTGACAACGGGCCTCGACCTCCACTTCCTGCCTGTCCAGACAGACGCAGGCCCCGCTACCGTGACAACCAGGTGAAGATTGATGTGCACTTCACTTGTGTACAGAAAAGCGACAAAAGAGAGAACTGCTTCCTCCCTCCCCCCCTGAGGCTCAGGAGACGTGGGCCTGCTGGACTCTAGTTCTGGCCCAGTGGGTCACCACGGTGCAGTGCAGCACTTGCAGAAACTGAAATGCACACCCTGAATAGCACTTGTATAAAGAAATGCCTACCAAGGAGTACTGAGTGTCCTGTCCTATCGCTAAATAAGTGCCACATGAGCTATGCAATGTATAGTAACCTATACCCATACTCAACACGCTCTATTAGACTGACTTCTCTTTCTACCTGTCTCTCTCCGCTCGCTCCTCTCTCTCCCTCTCTCTCTCTCCCTCTCTCTCTCTCTTGCTTCTAGCCTCCACTCTTTATCAATACTTGAAATGTAATCTTTCGCTTCCTTTCCAAAGCGAATGATTGTTGTGACGTTTGCACTGAAAAGTTGCGGGATTAGTGAAACAAAAACTGCCATTGAAAAGTTATTTTTATAGAAGTAAATTTAATTTTGTTTCAAATGTATTTTACCTAATTAATGGAACCAAAGAGGCCAAGATTTTTAGCTATTGTACTAAGATGGCGAGGCCATTGAGTTACTGTGTACAATACTGTTTTTGATCATTCGCAATAGGCCTACCACTGTATCAGGGTACGATAAATGATTTCATTCCTTAGCTCTGTCGTCGTTCTCTGTTTTGTACAATAAGCAACTCTTCATTTTTTCATCTTTAACTCTATTTTTTTTGTTTCAGTTTTCTATTTAATAAGAAAGTTGTTTTTAGTTCCTGTCTAAGAATCATCTAGTCAAATAAATGTCATGTGTACAGTTTGTCAAATAAAAATGTTTTCTTAAATATTTTGTAACTTTAAAATCAAGACTGTGTTTTTTTCCTCCGGGGTTGGGCCTGTATCTGAACTATTGTTGTTTTTTCTGATGGAAGGCGCTTTGGACGGACTCCTTAATAAACAAAAGGGTGCGGCTGAAATAGTTGAAACGAGTGTCTCTCGTAAGCTGCAACAGAGCAGCTAACTGTGATTAACGGCTTCGATGGCCATGGCGGCTGACAGCATGCAGGCGCTCACATATCTGCTTGATTTCTTCTTGGCTGCAGCGTCTATTGAAGTGTGTTTACACGTGCACGCCAGATATAATTGTGCGTTGGTATCCGTACTTGTGCACGTGGGTGCACGCCTGCCAACTGACGGTATTCCTGTGGAGCGTTTTTGTGCGGCCTTTTACATCACAGTGGACTTCCCCCCTCGCCCCCCCCCCCCCCCCACACCCGCTGCAACGCAACACGTTTCTGTTTCTCCAGCTATATTTACAGTTGACTCCATGACAGCGGCAGCGTGTCAACACTGTGTGCAACAACACGAGGCATGCCCGACCGAGTCTTTGCATGTTGCCGACACCCATCAACCGCTCCGATTCTACCATCCAAAACAGGTCACGTGCCTCTGTGTAGTCAGCCAGGTAATCACGCTAAACACCTCCATTAGGACGTGCCACGGACTGCAATGAGTGTTTGCCCACGAGGGAAAATGTCTGGGAGGGATCAGTGTAAATATGTGTACCTGGACGGACAAGCCAGCAGGAGCAGCACAAAGCAGAAACACAAAGAGAACAGATCAATATTGCGGTGCGTGCGATTGACAACGAGGCCCACAAGAAGATAAACGATGCGTCAGCGGGACTGGTTCTTTTTTTCTACCCCCCTCGATGGAGCCTGCACCTCTCAGAGACAAATGGGGCTGTGTGCTGAGAGCAGGGAGAGAGATGTGTAGCCGTCCTGTTATGCTTCCTAATGCACGCCAAAATCTCCACAGCTGGAATGTTAATGACTTTGCGAAGGCCGCAGGCCGCTGAGCGTGCACGCTCGCATCCATCCCTTTTTATCAATAATCTCCGGGCCGGCGGGATGGGTCCCCTTTCTCTCGGCATGCTCTCTTGCGGACTTGTATACGTCCTCTCGAGTGTGCGCTCTTTCTCACATGAACAGGACACCAACATGTAAGCGCGCACGCATACACACCCACGCACACAAAACACACACAACCTTTACAACCTTTAGTTATCAGCTTAAACAAATACCGTCGCTCGGCCATCCCTCATCTAATAGCGCCACAGGTTGAGGTCGTGACAGCTGCCGAGATGATGGGGTCAACTGGTTTATCATCGCAATAGCGTTCATTCTTCCACATAAGCTCCATCTACGCTCACTAATGAATTCATGACTATTTGTCGCCCGCGGGTTAGGGTTGACTCAGCTCACATATGGTGTGCAGTAATAATAAATTCAACGCTAAAAATATTATTGTCTTGATTCCTAAAACCTAGAATGATCAGAAGCTACATTTTCCTTAATTTCTTTTGCAAGGCTATAAGCTGAATGTGAGATATTTGGGTCAGATGATCAGGAATAATTTAGGTAATGATGATGGTATAAGCAGTGCCTGCATAGCAAACTGTGCACACATGCCAATATGCTAACACGTATCTTCCACACGTGTACAGATGATTTGGGACGGCTCTCTTTAGAGCCCACTGGTGGTGCAGTCATAGATTTAGGTGGCTTTTAACGATGCTTTTAGAATCTTGCTCAAGCTCCCAAGGCGATTGGGTGCAGGTCATATTTTTGTTTCCAGCTTTCATGCTGTGTGAAGGGATTTTATTTACAGTCAAATGTCGATTAAATGATTACCACAATATAATGGCATAAAAGCCTTAACTGAGCGATACCAGGTATTCAAATTGTTTTTGGAAACATTGGAACAAATGTCTTTAGTATTTTTTGTTTTGCTTTTTATATGGACTTAAAGTTACATTGAATTGTATCTGACTCCGTTAAAATATGTTGTTTTTTCCCCTGGCTATGTTCACTGAGCTAACACAACAGGATTTCTATCACCGCCGATTAAAGCCTGACCCGTTGTTTCAGTTTCCAGAGAGCACGTAGGGCACTCTTATTCTAAGGATTTATGGTGTGGGGCCCCCTAAGACAGGAGGCTTATTCCAACCTTGTTTACTTCTCCCTACAACCCAACGTGACATTTTGACCTTTGGAGCAACGTGGACTGAGGTCCCTGCTAGCTCTCTCTCACGGCAGATTACTGGAGGGAGGGAAAAAGGTTTTGCAACTTGCAAGCATATTTTTGAACATTTGAACAAAAAAACCCCTGTATTAATCCAAAGTATTTTAAATTGCTGCATATTTGTCTCTTTCTTGTTAAGCTTTTTAATCTCTTTTCTTAAAAAAAAAATGTGTTTACACTGATTCAGCAGCTACACAACGTCAATAATTACTATTAAGTTGATATAGTGTACTTTATTATTGGCTTTGCATATAGTAATCCTGTTTTTTTTTGCAATAATACACTGTGTGGACATGCTTTACAAATCATTATTACTGGCAGTTGACAGATGCATTCAAGTTGATTTGCACCAGACCAGACAGAAAATACCATTAACACTACCTCTAAATGCTCTTACCAGATCAGTAATTCTATTTTCTGCCTCCTGAATGTTGCAGCTGAGGGGGTGACGGGGTCAACGTGCCACAGTGCAGGGTGTGTCTGCGCTTGTGTATTTTTGTTAGTCCACAATGTCATAATGTCATGGTTGTTCGTCCCAGCGCTTTGCAAAACAACGGAAGCCTTGTCGCTGAACTCAGGTCCCCCCCACCCCCAATATATGTCTCACAATCAGCCCCTAAACCTTTCCACCTCCTCACCCCACCTTTCCAACAATCCTGACCTCCTGGCCCCCAAAGTACTGAAGGCACACTCAGAGGCCACAAAGCCCTCATTTGTGTTGTCTACGATGGCTGCCGCTGGCATAAGGACCCCACAGCTCAGTGAGTGGAGCAATGTAATGCTGGGAAGGTGACACTGAAGGTGATGTCGTGGCGGGAGAGAAGGTAAGTTATCACTTTCTCTTTTTCTCCTAACAGAATGTAAAGTTAGTTGGTTTTATCAGGCACAACGATTTATTCAAGCTATTCATTGCTGTGTGTACGGTACAAGGCAATTGTCATGTAGCAATGTCCTCCTTCCACATAATAGCAATAACATACTAAGCTTATGAGGGAGCAGCTCATCGGCCTAATGGCCTAGAAACTGCTTGTCATTCTCTTTGTTCTGGATTTCAGACTCCTGGAGCGTCGGCCCGATGGCAGGAACGAGAAGAGTGGGGGTTCCTTCTGCCCTTAATGATGTTGTGGGATCTCCAGGGTACCTTGGTTGTGTAATTGTCCTGTAGTGAGAGGAAAAATCCCAGTTTTACAGTAATCCATCCTTATATAATTGGATCCATCAATATACCCATAAATACCTACATCAAGGCATGGATCTATTCATCCAATCATCAATCTGTTCATCCATCATCTATCTATCTGTGTATCCACCCATTCATCCGTCATCGATATATATTATATATATATATATATATATATATATATATATATTCATCCATCATCTATCTATCTGTCCATCCACCCATTCATCCGTCATCGATATATATTATATATATATATATATATATATATATATATATATATTCATCCATTCATCAATCTGTTCATCCATCATCTCTCTATCTGTCCATCCACCCATTCATCCGTCATCTATATATATATATATATTCATCCATTCATCAATCTGTTCATCCATCATCCATCCACCATCCAGCCCAGGTGTTCAGCCTAGTTCTCTCTTCAACAGTCTTAACTCTCACTCGTAAAGAAAGACTCCCTCGCTTGCATACTTACCTTTTTATGTGAATACATACAGGGCCAATAAAGCTGGTTCTGATTCTGACAATGCAGCTCGACCTTTATAGTATTGACTGCATTTCTTTGAGAGATTTATGTTTCTTATGATTTAAAAAAAGATCTGCGTGATGACTTCCAAACAGAGACACACATTTTTGTAAAAAATAGACCAGATTTAAAAGTGACATTATTTCCTGTACTTCACGGCTCAGGCTCAATAAAACCCCTTTTTTTCCCCGCGCGCAGTCAATCATGTATCATTGTGTAGTTAGACATGCAGATAGCATGGACATCAGTTGTCCTTGTCCATGTACAACTGAGTCAGACTGGAGGTACAGTTAACAGGGAGCTGTGCCAATACATTAACGTGTGAATACCCCATTTCAAATGAAGGTCCGGTATTCAAAAGTAATGATCAGCTATATCAACACCAGCAAAGGTAAAATGACTCATTTTAGGGAGACATTTCAACACTGCTGCTTTTTGTTCAGAATGTTCGTATAGAATAATACACTGTTTATTGTTCACTATTATATTATGGACACACATTTGATAAACTGGTCAATCAATTAGATGACTCCTGATTCCGATGAATAATAACTGATTCCTGTACATCCTCACATTGGTCACCGTGGTCATTCAGTGCCGCCTGAGTGGGAACGTCTTCGTCCTTATGTATCTGCACAAATCAAGGGTCCTGGAAAGCGCTCCAGACATGCTCGCTGTGAGCAGGCGATTTGGCTCACTAATCAGTCTGTGACTACCCAGGCCCCACCTCTACACCCCGACCTGCTCATCAGCTATATTTAGATCACTGATGCTATTTCTGACAGTATGCTCTTTTACTAATTCGGCTGTTACTAATGTCAGGTAGAACCAGTATGTTAACAGTCGGGCTTTTGTTTCAAGTTACATACGCGGTAGCCAGCTATCTGATCTGAGCAGCTTGGGTGAATGAACCTCAGACCAACACTGATACCTTTGTGACAAACACAAGGAAGAAAATATTCATTCCTAACGTGTGAGTGTATGCACACACCTTTTGTGAGTGCGTGTACTTGAGCATGACTGCTTTATTGTGTGTGTTTGTGTGTGTCAGAGGG